CGCGGCCGGCGCCGACCCGCGCCTCGCGGTCCACGTCGCGTCGCGCTGCCGGGCCGCGTCCGCCGCGCGCGGGACCCGCGCCGTCGCCACCATGGCCAAGAAGAGCGTCGGGGACCTCACCGCCGCCGACCTCGAGGGCAAGCGCGTGCTCGTGCGGGCCGACCTCAACGTGCCGCTCGACGACAACCAGAACATCACCGACGACACCCGCATCCGCGCCGCCATCCCCACCATCAAGTACCTTCTCAGCAACGGCGCCAAGGTCATCCTCACCAGCCACTTGGTATGCCTCCCCACCCCGACCTCTCTCGCCCTTTTCCGCAGACTAATGAATGATCTGAGTACCACATATACAGTACAATGTAGGAAAACACCACTCGTAGAATGTGAGTGTTCCCTATAATCCGTTCGAAAAGCCTGATATATGAACACATAACACCTAAGCTCTATCTGCCAGTAGTTGCCAGTTTGATTATTGTGTTGTGCGATTGACTGATGGTTAGCCTGTCCTAAAACGACTGATCATCATTGCCAAGGTATTACTGAATACAATCTTTGACTTGTCTTTAATTCATCATCTACTTATGTGCTCTGTAGTCCCAGAAAAACATTAGCTGAATAGTGACGAGCCAAATCGTTATGTGATCTCGCTACTGCAACATTACTTCTCTAGTAGTGAATTGGCCTATGATTCTAAATCGTGATACTTTTGGATCCCTCATTTATTTTCTAGCAACCCTTTTATAAAGGATAATCCAATGCTAGTTTCACACAGAGGTGCTTATGATATGGCCATGTCATTGATATGATGCTCATAACACTTATTTCCTATGGATTTGCAGGGTCGTCCTAAGGGTGTTACTCCTAAGTTTAGCTTGGCTCCCCTTGTGCCACGATTATCTGAGCTTCTTGGCATTGCGGTATTCTTTTGTTCCACACCATCGAGGCTTCTATTCAAGCATATGCGTAAGTGATTGTAGTCTACTTATTTAAACACATTTTTGTTCACAAATTAGGTGAAAAAAGCAGAAGATGTTATCGGCCCAGAAGTTGAAAAATTGGTGGCTGACCTGGAAAATGGTGCTGTTTTGCTCCTGGAAAACGTAAGATTTTACAAGGAAGAGGAGAAGAATGACCCAGAGTTTGCAAAGAAGCTTGCATCACTGGCAGATCTGTTTGTAAACGATGCATTCGGAACAGCCCACAGAGCACATGCCTCGACTGAGGGAGTTACCAAGTTCTTGAAGCCTTCTGTTGCTGGATTCCTTTTGCAGAAGGTTCATACTTTCTTTTATTTCTATTTCTGAAGTTTGATGCTTGAACTCAATTGATGCTATGCACCACACAGTAAAAGGAAAAAGAATTTAGAGCAGAAGACTTAACGTCCATCCATTGGTTCCAGACAGAGTCTGAAGTGTTGAACCTGTTTTTAATTGCAGGAACTTGACTACCTGGATGGAGCTGTTTCAAACCCTAAGCGCCCATTCGCTGCCATTGTGGGTGGCTCAAAGGTGTCGTCCAAGATTGGGGTTATCGAATCCCTGTTGGAGAAGTGTGATATCCTTCTTTTGGGTGGTGGTATGATCTTCACATTTTACAAGGCACAAGGACTCTCAGTTGGTTCTTCCTTGGTTGAGGAAGATAAACTTGAGCTGGCAACATCTCTCCTTGCAAAGGCAAAGGCAAAGGGTGTCTCCCTTCTGTTGCCATCTGACGTTATCATTGCTGATAAGTTTGCTCCTGATGCTAACAGTCAGGTATATTACATTTTTGTTTCCTCATGCAAGCGTTGAAGATAATTTTCAATAGATCTTTTTAGTCAAGCTGAAGCAGCTCACAAATATGTGAAGGCTATATACCTGATATGGAATTTTTCTGTAGACCGTCCCTGCATCTGCAATTCCTGATGGTTGGATGGGGCTGGACATTGGCCCAGATTCAGTCAAAACATTTAATGATGCCCTGGACACAACACAGACAATCATTTGGAACGGACCAATGGGTGTCTTTGAATTTGACAAGTTTGCAGTAGGAACTGAGGTAATGCCCTGTGTAATTCATCCATTCAATTCTATTATGGAACAAATTTGCACAGAAAGAAACTTAATTGTGACCCCTCTCCTGTAGTCTATTGCAAAGAAGTTGGCCGAGCTTAGCAAAAAGGGTGTGACAACTATCATTGGAGGCGGAGACTCCGTTGCGGCTGTTGAGAAGGTGGGAGTGGCTGATGTTATGAGCCACATCTCAACTGGTGGTGGCGCTAGCTTGGAGCTGTTGGAAGGAAAGGAGCTGCCTGGAGTCGTTGCACTTGATGAAGGTGTCATGACGAGGTCGGTGACCGTATGAGGCTAAGCTTCATTTTGTCGCGTCTCAATTCCTTTCATGTACCGTTCTAAACCTGCCATGTTGTCCTCCCTCCTTTGCTCGTCTTCAACCACTCGAAATGTAAGAGACCAATGTTTTATAGAGAAATACTGGGAGCTGTTTGAATAACACCCCCCAGCAATTTGTGCTCACTTGAGTTGCCTTTTCTCAGCTCACATAATTAGCACCAGCAAATGTTTTATTTATAAGGCAAAGATGGAATGATGTTGGTTGAGGATGTTCGATTTTTGTCTTGCTTTGTTTTCCTTTCCAAAGCAAACTTTAAAGGTGTCTGAAGATGCACTTTGTGGATGCCTGTTGTGATCAGCAGTAAAAAAATCGGTTCATGTCGAAGTTCACTTTGGAACAAGCAGACATGCTCACCTTCCATCTCCAATTTCAGCATAAATTTGACGGACCAACAGAGTGCTGAAGCCGACCATTGAAAGCATCAGCGCATGTTTGTTTGTTGTAAGAATGTCTTATTGGTGGAAATTCTTCAGAAACATTTCATTTGGGGTTTGGCCATATCAAGCTTTACACACAAACTTCCTGCATATATGGATTTCGACGATCGGCAGTTCAGCATCATGAAGAACGATGATAGATAATACAATGGTGTTTCTTCATTGTGGGCACTTTCTGCCTCCATGCATGCCCTGGGCAGTAATTCTCATATTTAACCAACCACACAAGAATGCAACCAATTCAGCGTGCAATTTACAACCTGGCTCCACATGATATCAAAATTTAGGTTTAGCTCATGAAAATATACCACAAATGACAGATAATACAAGCTCAAAGGGTATGTCATACATCACCCTAGACCAAGGTACAAGATGGCCACAGAAGTGCATAAACAGTACTACAGTATCACAGATCAAAATGTTTATATTTTGTCTTTCAAAAAAAAGTTTATATCTAGCCCAAAAGAAGCAGTCTAAGATGCAGGAGAAATAAATTAAAAGGTGATAAAATATATGCTGAGGAACAAACAGCAATCCTAATGGTACAAAAGTTTATGCTAAAAGGAAGCCCTGACAAAAGAGCTCACGTCACGTCTCATTAGACTCGTCAGAAGCCTCGTTGAAAGACGAGGCGAGGTATTCTGCCAGACTCAACCCTGATGTTGGATTTGAAATTGTTCGACCTTGATTAGGTGTCTCCTTTTTGCGCAATGACTCTGGAAGCCAGGACTTGGCGCCATCGATGGGTTTCAGTATGTTGCCAACGATAGGCTGCAAGCCCTGCCAAGGATCATCAACCATGGACTTCCTGTAGAAGTTCCTCTGATCTTGCGACCCAGAATGGTTCTGGAAGCCACCCCTTCCCCCTCTTCCTCTCGAACCTGGGCTGTGGTAGTAGTTCTCGCCCCTGCCTTGATTAGGTGTCTCCTTTTTGCGCAATGACTCTGGAAGCCAGGAATTGGCGTCATCGATGGGCAGTATGCTGCCAACGATAGGTTGCAAGCCCTGCCAAGGATCATCCACCATGGACTTCCTGTAGAAGTTCCTCTGATCTTGCGATCCAGAATGGTTCTGGAAGCCACCCCTTCCCCCTCTTCCTCTCAAACCTGGGCTGTGGTAGTAGTTCTCGCCCCTGCCACGTCCGGAAGACGAGTGCGGGCTACCTCTTGGTACATAACTCCTCGGGCTTCCTCTTGGTTCGTAACTCATCGGGCTACCCCCTGGTCCGTAATTCATCGGGTTACCTCTTGGTCCGTAATTCATCGGGCTACCTCCTGGTCCATAATTCATCGGGCTGCCCCCTCGGCCAACATTAGGGCCTCTGAACCCAAAGTTGGTTTGATGTGGATACGGATCTTGAGCTGGAGAAGCAGAATGTGAGTTCCAGTGAGGTGGAGGTCCAGGAGGTGTTCCTCGGTATCCAGACATAGGAGTCTGGAACTGCATAGGACTTCTCCATGGACTATTCCCTGGCGCACCTTCCATCGGAGATTGGGCCATATGGTGCTGGTGTGGAGGAGGATAATTGTTACCATAGTTCCCTGATCCAGATAAACAAGCAAAGTGAGACCAATGATCAGGGTGAACCAAGAAATGATGGTAATTTTCACATTTTGCAGGATGTGCAGAAGACCAAAACAGTAGCTGGATTTCTTGCAGCACAGTACAGCTACAAGTAATCACTAAGCAGTCCAAGTTTTGTACTAGCCAGTTTTTTAAACCGGTATTTAGAGTGTCACAAGTGTTCTCTAAATCACCATTCAGTGCGATGGTAGGTGATGTAAAATGTTCAAAATTATTCTCTTCAACCTAAAAGGACCACCCAAGATTCTTCAACCGACCAATACTCACATCATCCAGTTAGAAGTTACTAGCATCTACTCCCTCCGTCCGAAAATACTTGTCATCAAAATAAACAAAAAAGGATGTATCTAGAACTAAAATACATCTAGATACATCGCCTTTTATTCATTTTGATGACAAGTATTTCCGGACGGAGGGAGTACATACTTGTAACAGGGTGCTTTTGTTGAAGGTTAGCTTAAGCCCAGGAAAACTCCACTGTCTGGATCAATGGAAGTGCTATGAATTATGACAACAATATAAAAATCCTACAAATATGAATCTTACAAAGGGAATTAACCTAGAAGCACAGGAGCAGAGTATATATACAATAAACATCAGGAAGAGAGGAAGAGGGGCAATACCCTAGCAGGGTAAGGTACGGACCGTGAGGCGGGGCCGGGGCGGGATTGGGGCCCGGGGGGTCGGCGTTCTTGCGCTTCTGCGGGACGGCGGCGGTGGCGGAGGAGAAGGCCGCGCCGGGGTTGGTGTAGAAGTCGAACCGCGAGCGCGGGCGCGGGGCCGAGGAGGTGGGCGCCAGGTCGGGCTCCGGGAGATCCCACGCGGGCGGCGGCGGCGCGGCAGATGGCGAGGAGGAGGTGGAGGAAGCGGCAGCGGCGGCGGCGGAGGAGCGGAGGGCGAGGAGGCGCTCCCGGCGGTTCGCCGACGACTCCTCGCCGGCTTGCTCGCCGGTGTCCATCTGGGATTGCGGCCCTCTCGCTTGCTACGAGTCGGGCTACGGCTGTGCTGCTTTGTCGCTTGGGTTCAGAGAAGAGGAACCCTTGCGTTTGTACGTACTACTGTATTTGTCATCGCCCACAATACGCAAGAACACGTAGAAATCCTCTCAGGACCTCTTTGATTCGTAGGAATTTCAAAACGCATGGATAGAACAAATATATGATTCGAATGCTATGTTTTTTTCTTAAATCCTACAGAGTTTAGGTCCTCTTTGATTCGTAGGACTGTAAAACTGCATGAATAGAAAAAGTTTAGGATTGAAATTCATAAACTTGAGGAAAAGCCCCGCATTGTCTCCCTAGGAGGCGACTCGGGTGCAACAAGGGCCGCCGCGGCCGGCCCCTCTTTTTCCAGCGCCTCCCCTCATCGCTGCCGGCTAACGTCATCGGGCGAAGCCCGCCTGCAGCTGGCAGCGGCGGGCGCAACCCCCATGCGCCCCCCCCCTCGCTGGTCTGTCCACTTCTCGCCCCCCACGACGGCGACTCGATCTGCGTCCCTGTCCTCGTTCCGTGGAGCTCGCGTTGCCAGGCCTACCCCCCCTCCTCTCCGCCGTCGGGGTGTGTTGGGGAACGTTGCATGGGAAACAAGAAATTTTCTATGCTCACCAAGATCAATCTAGGAGATGCACATCTACGAGAGCAGAGATTGAATCCCCATACCCTTGTAGATCGCTAAGCAGAAGCGTTAAGAAACGTGGTTGATGTAGTCGAACGTCTTCGCGATCCAATCACGATCCGTCCACGAACTCCCGATCAAGTGCTGAACGGACGACACCTCCGCGCTCAATATACGTACGACTTGATGACGCCTTCACCTCCTCGATCCAGCAAAGAAGGAGATGAACTACGAGGGAGAGGAAGGCCAGCACCGTGGCAATGATCGGTGTGGCTGCCCTCCCTCTCCACCTCTATATATAGGGGGAAGGGAGGAGGGGTGGCGTGATACGTCTCCAACGTATCTATAATTTTCGATTGCTCCATGCTACTTTATCTACTGTTTTGGACTATATTGGGCTTTATTTTCCACTTTTATATATTTTTTGGACAAACCTATTAACCGGAGGCCCAGCCCAGAATTGCTGTTTTTTGCCTATTTCAGTATTTCGAAGAAACAGAATATCAAAGGAGTCCAAACGGAATGAAACCTTCGGGAACGTGATTTTCTCACCGAACGTGATCCAGGAAACTTGGACCCTACTCCAAGAAGTGCCAGAGGCGGTCACGAGGGTGGAGGGCGCCCCCCTGGGCGCACCCCCCTGCCTCGTGGGTCCTCTGTTGCTCCACCGACGTACTCCTTCCTCCTATATATACCTACATACCCCCGTCAGATCAAATACGGAGCCAAAAACCTAATTCCACCGCCGCAACCTTCTGTATCCGCGAGATCCCATCTTGGGGCCTATTCCGGAGCTCCGCCAGAGAGGGCATCTACCACGGAGGGCTTCTACATCAACACCATAGCCTCTCCGATGAAGTATGAGTAGTTTACTTCAGACCTTCGGGTCCATAGCTAGTAGCTAGATGGCTTCTTCTCTCTTTTTGGATCTCAATACAATGTTCTCCCCCTCTCTTGTGGAGATCTATTCGATGTAATCTTCTTTTTGCGGTGTGTTTGTTGAGACCGATGAATTGTGGGTTTATGATCCAACTTATCTATGAATAATATTTGATTCTTCTCTGAATTCTTTTATGTATGATTGAGTTATCTTTGCAAGTCTCTTCGAATTATCCGTTTGGTTTGGCCAACTAGATTGGTAGTTCTTGCAATGGGAGAAGTGTTTAGCTTTGGGTTCAATCTTGCGGTGTCCTTACCCAGTGACAGAAAGGGTTGCAAGGCACGTATTGTATTGTTGCCATCGAGGATGATAAGATGGTTTTTTTTATCATATTGCATGAATTTATCCCTCTACATCATGTCATCTTGCTTAAGGCG